GTTTTCTTTTTTTTTTTTTTTTATTTTCCGGTTGGGGAGGGAAGAGGCAGCTCGAGTTTTCTCTTGAAAGCGGATGCTTTTTGCAGTTTTTCCTTCACGAGGCTCTTTAGCTGCTTGCTTCAGTACGGGTGCCTTCCGCCCTGCCAGATGTACGCGTGGGAGAAGCTGGTGGGGAGCCCCGGGGTGGGCAGAGGAGCCCCGCCGGGGGCAGGGTTGGCTGGGGAGAGATGGGCTGGGCAGGCTGAGCCTCTCTGCAGAGGGTTAAAATGTTGTAGTGACTTTCTGAATCACTTCAGATCTTGAAATAATTTTGCATTTCCGAGCTCCTTGCAAACACGCGTGGGCCCCGTTCGCCGTGCTGCTGACACACGTGGGCTGGCTGTCCCTGGGAGCCCAGCTCCGGGCTGTGCTGGGGATGCTGCAGGTCCCACTGGCTGGGACCAGAGCCTCGTCGGCCTCCCCATCGCTGCCGGGGTTGCTCAAGGGTTGCTTGTGCTGCCTCTTGCTCCCCTTTGGACTCCCCCCTGCCCTGGACGAGGCTTGTATAACGTCAGACCAGCTGATCGCAGAAGGCAGCTGGGGCTGGCAAGCCCTCCTCGCTGAAGCAAACATATTAAGAAAGCCCCAGCTAAGTTTTCCTTATACATTATGCCTTGCTCTGGAGTGGTGGTGAGCATGGAGGGGCTGAGGAGCACTTTGGAAGGCTGTTGCTTGGTGGACAAAATCTAGTTTACCGGTAGGACGTGGTCAAGGTATTAACAGGACACTTTGAAGGCATCGCTTCTGGAGCAGGGCATTCCTAGCTGCCTGTGTCGGCCCGAGCTGCTGTGCTTTCCATCTGCAAAACCGCATGGGACCGCTGGAGATAGCAGCCAGCCCCGTGGCCGAGCTGTCTCCTGCTCCTCCCTGGCTAGAGGAGTGAAAAATGCGGGAGCGCAGGGAACGGCTCATGGTTTGGGTTGATTTTTGTGTTGTCCCTGCAGGAACCCCCTTGTCCGGTCTGCAGCCATGGCCACTTCAGCGAGCTCCCACCTGAGCAAAGCCATCAAGCACATGTACATGAAGCTGCCACAGGGGGAGAAGGTCCAAGCCATGTATATCTGGATCGATGGGACGGGGGAGCACCTCCGCTGCAAAACCCGCACGCTGGACCACGAACCCAAGAGCCTTGAAGGTGAGAGAGCGGGTACAGAATTCACAACCCCTCGTCAGAAAGGATGCCATTTCTCTCTCTTTCATGG